CTTTTCAGGTTGCTGTGGGACTTTGAATACGATTACCAGATAGTGACCTCTTTTAGAGAACAGAGGATTTAAATAAAACTACATTACTGATTTTATGCATGTTCACAGATAACTTTTCTTTAGAATTTCATTGAAACACCTAGTAGCTTTATGAGTATTTTTAAATCTGATCTCCTAAAGTCAAAATTCATAACCCTAAAATTTTCACCTCACAATCTTTTGTCTTTTGAAGTGCTCTTCAAAACTTTAATTTGCATATGGAAACACCTATTTATAAAGCAAATTCAAACAAAATAAAAAAAAAGAAAAACAACACAAAGTTAGGCTTGTATTTTTTTAAACCATGAGGTCACGATGCAGATACCCAAACTATGAGCAAAATAAATTAAAGCTTCTTTGAACACCTGGCGTGTATTACCCACATATTCTTAAAATACCTCCTCACTGTCTACTAATGCTCTCTCTATCAGCTTACTGCTTATCAATTTGTGTTTCAAGTGAACTGTTTTTTTTTTCTTTTTCTTCCTGACATCCTTAGAAACTGAAGAATACAACTAACTATTTGCTGGCCAGTGAATTAAGAATCAGACAGACTCATACCGCGGCTGCCTGATCCCATCTGAATAGGAAGGTTAATGACTCTATGAGCACTCGCAGACAGCCCACCACAGTGCCACGACAAGCCTTTGTAGGAATTGCCATGAGCCAGCAAACCATGTCCTGACCCTTATAAAAAAACACCAGCTATGCATGGGCCAGGGCATACCGAGCCTGGGAGAAAAGCTGATGAATGAACACAAAGGGCATCTCAGTTTACAGCGATGACAGTAGTCTTCTCCTTTGCTCAAATGTTATTTTCTACTTTATAGCTTCTTAAACAAACGTTCCTTAGTGAAACATAACGGACTTCACACCACCTCACCAACTAGCAGCTGGGGGGGAGGTGGTGGCGAGGTCCCTCTGGAAAAGGATGAGCTGATGGCGTTGTTCTGAAATGAGCCTGCTGTTGTCTGTACTGACATCCCTGCACGTGAAGGGCACCTCACAAAGACCACATCTTCTTCCGTGGCACTGTTAAGTAATATCCGAGTGTCCTTGTGGGACCTGCCCAGGGGGTACTGCAGGGCTTTGGCCACTGCCCACCTGCCTCTGTGGTCCCCTCTGGAACAGGGCTGGCATGGCTGCAGCTGGACTGGGTACCCCTCAGCTGCCCCTCACCAAGCAGGGCAGACTTGTCCTTCCATTCAGGCAAATTAATAACACTGTTCCTAAAGACTAATGGGGGGGGGAAGCATGAGTAGAGAGTGAGAGATCTCTTGGCATCTCATTCAAATCTGTGAACAGCTTTCTCACAGGAACTATTTTTAAATTTTGTATCAATCTGCTTGAGAAAGGTTCCTTCTGTTGCCTACAAATGTGCAAACTCCCCCTTCGAAGAACCACAGTTCCAGGACAAGATCCAGCCCTGCACTTACAACCTAATCAAGACCCAAATATTTCGTGACCAAAGCTTTTCACAACTACGCATCACTCCTGCAGAGTGTATGCTGGTGAATCCCACTGCAGCATCGATGAAGCCCCTGCATTACCTCACCAAGAGTCCTGTCTTTTTTTTTTTTTTTTTTTTTACGTGCTTACAGGTAGCACACCCTCACATGTGAGCCAACAGACACCAAAGCATTCTGACTACTTCTGGAAGCACTGCTGCTCTTACCACTGTGACAGAAGCAGAACTGCTGTGTGAGGCTGGGGAAGGAAAAAACAAAAAAAGGTGCAGCAAGCACATAGATACTGTGCGTGACCTGACCAGTGAGGTGAAACCATTGTATGCTGGGTTATCAGAAGTTCCTGTATGAACGCATTGTTCAGGCTTAAGAGGTCTGTGAGAAAAAACAAGCAACAGCACTACACAATGGATGCAGATAAGCAACCTCTGAACAAAGCCCTGGGCGACTGCAAGACAACGGGAAAACTTATTAGCAGCAAGCATCTTATATCCTGTCTCCAATAAAGCAACACAGATGTTCGGCTAATGCAGGGCGTGAAAAGATGAAAAGAGCACTAAGCAGTCATAAAGCCCTCCGCCGGAGAGGAGAGGGTTGGTGTTTAACAGCTGTCAGAGGGGAAGAGCAATTGAGCACACAAAGATGTGCACAGGACAGGCAGGGAAAACCTCCCTGTAACAGGTCTGAGAACGCAACAGCGTTAACAGGGGGACCTCAGTACAACGCTGGGCCAACCCTGGGGTGGGCTGGAGGACTGACAACCTCCCCTCCAGCAGGCAGCAGCATGGTGAAAGACAAAGATGAACTTCTACACATCGCAGCCACTGACAGAGAACAGTTACGCACCCAGACAGCAGAGGTGGGTACAGCTCTGGATGTGTGCGTAACGCTGCCCTTGCCACCGGTAAGGGAGGCCACTGTTATGACCACAAGCCCCTCGATACCATTGCAAACAGGGCTGGAGCTGGGCTCGCAAGGCCCAAGAACAGAAAGGCTATTGTTCGGGTGGTTAGTCACCAGGGCGGTTATCTCCGCTGGGAAATGTGCGGTGTGCGCTCACACATCCACCTACCCACCCTGACGGCTGGGAAAGCAGCGTTGGGAGCTGCACCCTTCAGGGGATGGCAGAACCAGGCTCTGCCCAACAAGAGCACCTGGACCCACAGGGTTACACAGAGGAGCTGTGGGGCTGGGGAAGGAAGGGCTGTGGCTCACTCCTTGGGCGAGGAGAGGGGTGCAGAACTAGCCCCCCCCCAGCCCCTGGCCACGTGCTGAACAGTCTGCTCTCTGCCAGCTGTAATTCCTGGGAGGCAGAGCTGCTGGCCCTCTGCAGGGCTATCGGAAGCCTGAAAAATCTGGAAAACCTGTTCCCATGAAAATTCAGGCCACATAACTAGCACATATTGGGCATCTGCTACTGTGTCAGGAGAAAACTGCAATGAGAACATTATTAACAGCCAGTTACAGAGGAAACAAGCTGAGCTGTAGAAGCCCATACCAATAGAGCCAACACTTTTTTTTTTTTCCCCCTTTTTCAACATGGTGTTCCCCATCACATTCCTCAGTGCTGATGCAGCAGAAGTGCATGCTCTTGCCAGCAGCAGGGATTTGAACCTGTGCTGTGAATACATGTGTCCTGCACATCCCACAGCCTGAACTGTGCAGAGGAAGAGGAAGGCCCAGCACAGAGAGCCTGGGCACGTTACAAACACTGTGCTGCAACCAGGGCACGCGGGGAATCGTCACGCACAGGGCACTGCTGTCAGAGTAGCTCAGTGCCAAGAGGGGTGGCTGCGCAGTGGATGCCCCCCTCAGAAAGCTGCAAGCATTGGGCAGGTGCTGCAAAAGACATGGTAATCTTACATGGCATTACAGCACTCCTTTCAGTTCACAAATGAATGCTATAAAACGTAAACATATTAATCTCTTCATTCAAAATATCTGCACTGCCACTGGCTACAATTCAAGAAGTTTCAAGGGCATAAAGAACATTACTTCCCCCCCCCTCTGATAAAGAATATTTCTGTCTCTTACTGTCAGCAGGCCAGCAATGTAAATGAACATTTGAAAGTCACTGTACAACTAAGTCATTGTATACGCTCAGATTAAAAAGAGCAAAACCAAATGCAAATAGGAAGCTTGAACTTCTTGGTAAAAGGGAACAGAAGTGAAAATATGAAGAAGCCACAAACAGTAATAAAATGGGTAAGCCCATGTTAGACCAGATCCAGTCCTGGTCTGAACCTGCACATACATAATTCCACCAGTTCTGTTAGTCATTGTGCTCATAAAAATAAACCCAAAGCTTTTCAAGCAACAGTTGAAGTTCAAGTGAAAACTTTTCAGCTTATAAAATTTACCAGATTCCTTTTAGATATTCAAACAGGTTAATTACTCAAATCAAAACATTAAACACAATGTCAAGAGTTCTTGAAAGCAATCACTTATCCATGACATCTCAAGGTTTTTATCATCCTAGTTAAAACACCTTTGAGGGGCCCCACTTTCAGGAGAGAGGAAAAAAAAAAAAGTTCCTTTCCAGAGACCTCCAGTGAAGTGACCCAGAGATGCTCACGTCCCCTGTCAACCCACCCTAACTCAGAATCTGACTATTTCAGAAGTTTCAAAAGTTACCTCTGGAACTCTGACAGCGACAAGCCACCAAAAACCATTTACTCCCTGCAAAATTGACTTTACAAAGATGATCACTAGCAAAAAGGCTCAGCTCTAACTTAGACAATACTAGCAGAACAATTGTGTTTTTATATCCCTTGCAGAATGCATTTTCCCAACAACCATTTTTTCCCTGTGAACACCACTCTCCAAATATTTTGCCTGTTCCTCATCTACAGGACGGTGGTAGAGTGCAACTGCAACTCCGTCTCCAGGAAATACACATAAAGCTGATTCATTATCTTAAAATGCTGCTTTTATTTCTGCTCATTAAAAGCACATTTCAGATCCCTGCACTGAATACATAGCCAATGTGCTCTGGACACAAATTAAAGCACTGGGTTTCAGTTCTCTACTTTTCTCATTTCAGTTGCATTTGCTGCCCACATGAATTCTCCATTTCAGTGAGAGCTGTATCAGACCTGAAGTAGAAATCAGAAAATGCTCTGGATAAAATCCTCTTTTTCTTTCTCTCTCCCCCTGCGATCTCTGACACTTCACGCAATTGCACCTGATGTCAGACTCAATCAAAACAGAACTGCTGCAGAGTCTCCCCTCCATCACTTATTTCTACTATCACTATGATTTCTAAACAAAAAGCTGTCTGAAACTTTCAATTTTTGAATGAGACTGAACAAAGGAAAAGCAGACTCCTGCCTAACCTAGATTTTGGGAGTTACATCCCACACCAACAGCAACCTCTCCGCAGAAACGGAACAAAAACCAGTTGTTCTGTATATCTCATACCCCAGCACGCCGAGTGATTCAGAAGAGAAGGAAAGCAAGTGAGCTTAGGTAATGCATGTGTTAGACAGTCCTCACCTTTAGGGAGTCAAAGCAGGCAATAACTCGACCATTTTCCACATGGCAACTCCGTGACGGGTGGGCGAACTTGCACTCTGCATCAGACCGAGAACAAGTACCTCTCTGAAACTCTCGACACACTTCTAATGTCAGCCATTTTGTATCACGAACCAGGGAAACGTTTACAGCCATATTAAAAACAAAAATTAAAATGCAAGCAATCACACCCTTCTTTAGGGCAATATTTACTGCTGATCTTTTTTTCTTTTTTTTTAAAAAAAGGGTAAAAAAGTGAATTCAAGTTAAATGTGAAGAAATAACTAACTTGTTGCTTTGGTAGAACTCCTATTCATCAGCACTTAGGTTTTCATTTAAGTCAAATCGTGTTTGTTTAAACAAGAATTAAACATAAAGCCAATCATAAAATAGAAATCTTATCAGAATAACTGAAAATCAAATTAGAGGCCAGCTCCTAAAAGTGCAATTGTAGAAGTTAAAATATAAGTGTTATATTTTGTGCCACTGCCTAAGTTACTTGAAAATAACTGGCAGACTTTCAAAAGAATTCTGTGCTCTCCAGTTAATGGTTTCAATTATTCTTGCAAAAAGCATATGCTGCTGGCAGCACTTCAGTTTGTGGAATGGTCTCGGTCCTTAGGGGGAAAACTTTTTTTTTCCTTCTTTTTCTTGCTTCTAAAAATTACGGTTCACGAGCATCAAAACAAGCAGAAGGATGTTAGATTTTTTTTTTCCTTTTTTAAAATATTTGCTACATACTCGGGGAAGAAAAATGGCTGAGCAAACTGTGTGTAAATGGGGAGCAAAAAAAAAAAAAAAAAAAAAGGAAGAGGATGGATGAGTTGCCGTCAGGGTATGAACTGCAAGCAACGCCAAATTAAAAAGAAAGGGGGGCAAAGGGGGAAGAGAGAGGCAGCCCTAGACAGAAATCCAAGCAGCGGTGGCTTCAGGAAAGGCACTTTTCAGCAACCTGCAGGAAAAAGAGAAATAGAATCAGCTACAACAAGACAATCGCCCCCTTTCCGAACTCGAGCTGTGAGCAGCAGCCGTACTCGCTGGAGAGGGGCTCCCCAGACACTGACAGTGCGGCACAGTGCAGTCAGCCATTGTAGATAAAAAGGGCATTTCCCACATGAAGCTGCGCATGGTAGGAGGAAGCAACCAATTGGATTTACTGTTGCAGCAGAAGGGCTGGGCAGCCACCCAATAAAAGAGAATGTTTCACATCGATCTCTTCTGGCAGACGTTCATTTTTGTGCCCACTGCACAGAAAATGCCTCGCTCTGACGCCGCCGGCCTCCGGCACTACCCGGGACGCAGCTCGGCGTCGGGCATTGGGCACCGCCGGCTGCTGCCAGCCCCGCTGTGCCACCACCCGCACACCCACACACCCACCCTGCGACCCCACTGGGCACCCCACACCCCGACACCCGTGGCTGCGACCCCACAACTGCCTGCGAGCCTCCGCCAGCAGGCAGCCGGCCGGGAGCGGCACCAGCGGGCAGCCCTTCCAGACAAAGGAGGGGCATTTCGCTGTTGGGTCTTTCTTGATATGTGTATTTTTTCCATTAATCTTCCCCCCTCCTTCCCCCTTCTGTAGGAAGCGTGCTGGCAGGAAGAGCAGCCGGTGGCTCTCTTGTATACAAAGCAGAAGGAGCTGCCACAGCTCAGCCCTCCAACTGCTCTAAGGTGTTGTGCTTAACCCGTTGCTGGCTGCAGCAGCGGTCTGGGATGTCACCTGAGCACAAACTACCGATTCACAAATTTAGAACCTGCAAAAACACATAGCAAACCTGACGGGGAAACCTGAGCCATGCGCAAGGGGAAAATATTAACTCGTTGCTCACAGCCGTGCTTTTCTGTGAGACTGAAGACACCTCTAATTACTCCAGTCCCAGCAACTTGCAAGCAATTCCCAGAACATCCCTGTTCAGGGTGTCCTTGGCATCCACTAAAATGTTAAGCCATCCTTAGAGGTTTCCATTCTCATATTTCATGTACCAACACCATCTGATAGGATTGGGCTGTTTCTGAGTCCCCCAAATCCAGCCCTTTATCATTCTAAAGTGCTGCCGTTTCCTTTTGCAGACACTTAATGGGTGCAGCATGTTGCTCGTGTGACTGCTATTAAGACTTCAAACTTCTGCACAAGAGCCTTCAACTACAAGAAAAGGAAGCTTAAATTCCTCTTATTATTGGTGTGTTATTGCAATTACGCTGATTGGTAACTGAAACCTACTGGAGCTGGAACAGTCAAACAATGCTACCAAGGAAGGAGTGTGGGAAGATGCTGTCATCAGCTGCAGGGGGTGGGGCAGGGAGGCTGTTTGATTCATGGATTGAATTATTTCACATTAAAAACAACATTTGCTAAACCTACATTACAAGTATTTTCTAGGCTAATTGAAGCCAAGTTCATAACAGAAACTGGCCAGATTTCTGCGTTCAGGATGGCACCTTCAGCACAAAGATTCAGCGAACCCATGCTTCTGGAAAGACCTCTGCATTTTTGCACATCAGGTGGGGAACAGACTGCAAAGATCAGATTTGCTAGGCATGTTTTAAACTTCAAAGCAAAAGAAAAAAAAAAACGTATCTAGCCACGCTCATGTCTTCTGGGTTTCGTAAGAAACAGAGATGCTCTCAATCAATTCTGATTTTGCGAGTGGGGCAAATCTACACATGAATCCCACTTGCTGATGTCTGGGCTCCCAGTTCAAATGAGCTCAGTACACAGGAAAAGCTGTGCAGAAACCTTTCTGCAGAGAGCTAGGGACAGGCTGGGTGCAGCTCTTCAAAACGAGCTAGAACAGGTCAAATATGGGTGGGGATTAGAAGGAATGCTCTCAGGAGCTGTTCCGAGCAGACTGAAATCTTGTGGACGAGCTGCCTGTTCTGCACCTTCACACTCCTGGGGAAGCGAGGGTCTGAACTTCACACAGCTACAGCCAGGTGTACAGGCAGCAGAGCAACTGCCACTTCCCAGCCCTTTCACCTTGAGAAATCCCTAAGACCACAACAAAGGAAACGTTCATCTTGCTGTCGCCTGCCCATGTAGCTCAGGAACACACGTGTGCACCCACAGGCTTCACAGGCACTCGCATGCAGTGAGCTGTTCTGAGAATCCTCCCGACGAAGAGAAGCACGTTAATGGAAGGTAAGTCACGTGAATCCCAGGAAACGCTGAGCTACAGAGACCAAAACACTCAGATACACGTGACACCACTGATGTTTTCTCTTAAAACCATTATAAAAAAAATTAAAAAAAAATGAAGAAATACTTGTTGATGTTCTACTGATAGAAACAGAAAGGGGACCCCTGCCCCATGCCCTGCAGAAGAGCACAGTGGTGTGCTCAACAGGCCAGAGCAGGACACGAGGAATACTCGGTGCCACAGAAACCACCCACCTCTCTGCAGGCAGGCAGGCTACCATCTCAGACCCTAGCACAAAGGCTCCTGTACTGGGGGAGCTAAATAAATTATGTTAATACCAGGGCATCAGTTTTGCTGCCTGCTTGACAAAGGGCAAAGCACAGGCGAGGCGCACGCTGCCCCAGCTCGCTCACTTGTTATGGGCTCAGGAGAGCGCACACGCTTCACTCCGAGCACACCGACAGGCTGACGGGAAAGGAGAGAGCTGAAGCCTGTACTTAAGTGCTTTGCTGAATCGGGGCCTAAATAAATGAATCTGGTCCCCAGGTTTATTGAGGCTGGGAGAGCAGCAAGCGCAGACAGAAGTCATCGTGTTCAGGCTTATGTGATCGCAGCCCAGAGGGGTACGAGCTAGGATTTTCTGCAAGTCAACAAATACAGTTCTGTCAATGTTTGGATTATTGCAAATTCCCTCTCCATGTGGCCAAAGGGAAAGCCTAAAACGTGTGCTTTCTAGGCTGACATCACACAGAGGCTTCGTAACACTGCAGTGAGACTCCGTGCAGACTGCCAGAAGATAAAAACATCTGACAGAAACCCACCCCTGACGCTCTAAAGTTTCACTTCTCCGCGTTTCAACTCCTGGCAGCAAACAATTGCAACCATTCTCACCACGATACATCTTTACAACTCCGCATTACCCTGTTTTTGGAATTGGCATTTTAGTCACTTTGTTCTCCCACTTACTTCAAACGGGAGGAATAAAAGCATCCATGCCAAAACCAACATAACAAGGTTACAAAGTAGCTCCACAAAACACTGGTTTCGTTAGCTTGCAGGAAATACAACAAAGGGTAGGTGCTGCCTTTTGAACCCTTCCCAGCGCTGCTGCTCAGCAAGCCAGATTTGTCTGGCAGGGCTCAGCTCCTTCACTACCAGATGGACTGATCTAGTTGCAACCGCAGCAGCAGCAAAACTGAAGAAAAAAAAAAAAGCAGCAAAAGAGAGAAAGTCCAGTGTTTTTTATCCCCTTAAGGAAACAATAACCCTAAAGCCCCTGCTCCAGGGCCTCTTGCTGGGCCAGGCGCTAATTGCCTGAAATGAAGCAGGACAGGGGCTTGCTCCAGACATCAGACCCAGTCCTGCAGCTACCGAAGGGACCAGGACAAGGGCAGTGTCATGAGCGAAGGTCACGGCGGAGCTTGCCTGTGGCAGGACCGAGATGCCCTCGCTGCTTGAGGTAACGTGAGGACAAGTGTATTCACTGAACCGTTGAATTCCTCCCGCTTTCCATGAAACCGATCCCCTTCCACTGCCACCCCCCATGGATGTCAGCTCATGAGCATGCTTCCTGACAGCCAAGTTCGGAGATGGTAATTTATGTGACAGGGTGGATTCAAGCAGCTTCCATGCATAAATGATGCTATTTAAGGAGCTGGGTCAGTCGTGTCCCCCCCCCCTTTTTTCTGTGTGTGTTTTTTTGTTTGTTTTTCTCCTCCAGAAATACAAAAATGACTCAGTAAAAGCAGCAAGGTGGGGTTGCATGTTAATGGTTCCTCAACAATTTCCAGGTCATGACTGCTCAGCTGAGAAGCAGAAGTGCTTTTATCCAAGCTGACAGTCCTGGTGAGGGAGAACGGCAGCTATCTCCCTTCAGCTGAAGGGAGCCAGGGCAGACAGTGAGGGGGCACTGGAGCTTTCTCAAAGCCAAGCTCCAGCGATGCTCTTTCTTTGCTGCAGCCAGCACTCTCCATGCTCCTTTCCTCAACATGAGCCTCCAGCATTTCCTGGAGGAATGAAGGACACGTTCCCATGAGTCTGAGCTCAGCTCTGTGCTGCCAGACAGCAGCACACTTCAGGCAGTTTTGCAAGTTGTTGGTCTGAACTTTCAGTGACAAGCCAGCCTGGATGGGTAAATACCTTGTTTCACTGCAGCAATAAACTCTGCTCTTCAACCAGCAAAACTTTTTTTTTTTTCTCCTATGGCTTTTTCCTCAAAGAACAAAATTCATCTGACAGCACAAATGACAGCATCACTCTTCATTCCTTGCACCTATAGATGGTTCTGTAACCTCGGCGTTTCACTGCGCTCTGATGGGTGCAGAAAAGCTTAGTGCACCCACTCCTCCCTCCTTGGATAAGCCGGGATGGTGAAACCCCTCCTTCACAGACTGAAGTGACACAATTTCAGTGACAAAAAATATCTTCCAAATAAACGCTGTGTTCCTGGAAATACTGCGTGGCAAAGAGAAACAGGAACAATAAAAATAGCACATTGAACTATTTTGTTCTGAAAGAGAAACAAAGGCCTTCAGAACACTGCTTCCATCCACCAGCATTTTTTGCATATCCACAGAAAACCAAGCCTGAGCATCTTCCCCAGTTCTTTCTTTCTCCTCCACTTTCCCAGCAGTAATAAAGAAGGACATGGGAAGCTGCATCTTGATCTTCAAAAGGAACCAAAAAGGCACAGCCAAAGACAAGATTTTGCTGGGGAGTGCTGCACTGGTACATTTATTGGCAGTCATGCGTGACAAAAGGTAAGCCACATTTGTAGGGAGCTTTCACAGTCAGTGAGGGGAAAAACAAAAAATCA